GTCCGGGTTAGGGTTAGGCAGGGGGTTAGGGTTAGGGAACGGGTGCACGAGTGCACTGCAGTCCCGGTGAGGATGAGGTAGGCGTTCGGGTTAGGGAACGGGTCCACGAGTGCACAGGGGTGCAGGTTAGGGTTAGGCTGGGGTTTCGGGTTCAGGAACGGGTCCACAAGCGCACAGTGGTCCGGGTTAGGGTTAGGCAGGGGGTTAGGGTTAGGGAACGGGTGCACGAGTGCACTGCAGTCCCGGTGAGGATGAGGTAGGCGTTCGGGTTAGGGAACGGGTCCACGAGTGCACAGGGGTGCAGGTTAGGGTTAGGCTGGGGTTTCGGGTTCAGGAACGGGTCCACAAGCGCACAGTGGTCCGGGTTAGGGTTAGGCAGGGGGTTAGGGTGAGGCCACGGGTGCACGAGTGCACAGGGTTCCAGGTTAGGGCTGGAAAGGGTGTTAGGTTTAGGGAAGAGGTCCACGAGTGCACAGGGGTCTGGGTTAGGGCTAGGCAGGGGGTTAGGGAACGGGTCCACGAGTGCACAGGAGTCCACGTTAGGGTTAGGCAGGGGGTTAGGGTTAGGGAAGAGGTCCATGAGTGGCCAGGGGTGCAGGTTAGCATTAGGCAGGGGGTTAGGGTTTAGGAACATGTGCCCAATTTGACAGGGGTGCGGGTTAGGGTTAGGCAGGGGGTTAGGGTTAGGGCATAGGTCCACAACTGCAGGGGGGTTCGGGTTACGGTGAGGCAAGGGATTAGGATTAGGGAAGGGGTCCACAAGTGCACAGGGGTCCAGGTTAGGGATAGGCAGGGGGTTAGGGTTAGGGAACGGGTCCACGAGTGCACAGTGGTCCGGCTTTGGGTGAGGCAGGGGGTTGGGGTTAGGGAACGGGTCCACAAGTGCACAGGGGCCCAGGTTAGGGTTAGGCAGGGGGTTAGGGTTAGGGAACGGGTCCACGAGGGCACGGGAGTCTGGGTTAGGGATAGGCAGGGGGGTTAGGTTGAGGGAACCGGTCCACGAGTGAACAGGGTTGCAGGTTAGGGTTTGAGAGGGGTTTCGGTTTCAGGCACGGGTGCGCAAGTGCACAGCAGTCCGGGTTCGGGTTAGGCAGGGGTTTGGGAATAGGTGCGCGCAAGTGTATGGCGGTCCAGTTTCCGGTTAGGTAGGGGTTTTAGTTTAGGGAAGGGGTCCGCACGTGCACAGGGGTCCAGGTTGGGGTTAGGCAGGGGCTTCGGGAACAGGTGCACAGGTTCACAGGGGTCCAGGTTAGGGTTAGGCAGGAGTTGAGGGTTAGGGAACGGGTCCAAAAGTGGACGGGGGTGCAGGTTAGGCTTTGGCAGGGGGTTAGGGAACGGGTCCACGAGTGTGCGGGCGTCCGGGTGAGGCTTAGGCAGGGGCTTTGGGTTAGGGAATGGGTCCGCGAGTGCACAGGC